TTCTCTTTGCTTACTTAACTAATATACTATCTTGTCCCTAGCCTTAGGTTTGAGCCTCGCTCACCATCGCTTCGGTGAGAACCAGTCGGACGCCCCTCGCTTCTAGATATTTCCCTGTCGCTTGACCTCAAGTCGCGACATTAGGTCGAAACTCTCCCAAGCGACCGGCGTTCTCTCAGAACCCACACACTCACACTTTCCTTTCCCATAGGTCGGGTGGTGCGCACCCTTACGATACCATACGATACGTAGATAGCCTACATTACATCGCCAACACTCAGGGAACGAACCTTTCAGCACCTGCACTTCAGTGGGCGGTGCTTGTCCTTAAACGGACGCGTGGACTAGGTTCCTGCTGCATACTAGCCAAAAGCAGTACTGGGCCCCACGTGAATCGCGAACCCTAGTGTCATCTCGGGCGCCGTAGGTGTAAGCTAGTCTACCACGGCCTTTCGTAGTACGCGCACCTTCCCGTCCTCCCCCCATCCATCGTGGCTGCCTGCCAAGGCCAGATCCACGCATTCGACTCCCAGGACCTCATCGACGTCTACATCCCAGACGGCCCTGAGACTGTCCTCTACCGTTGCGAGCAGCAGCCGTGCCCAAATCGGACACCCCGATCGATCGAGGAGGATTACCCTCGCTACAAAGCGATCCGACGAGCGCAACACCCGCTCGGACCCCGAAGTACTCTCGCATCTCGATCGGCCTCGCGGCACTCTCGCCCTGTCTCCCCTACCTCCCACCTCCCTCAAACTGTCGCCGATCAAGCGCGAGGAGATCTCCCTCCAGACCCTGCGCCAGAGCCTGAGCCTGAGGAGGGTGATAGTGAAGAAGGAATCTCGGAGTCCGAGTCCGCGGATCTTGCTCGGCCCGCCTCGCCGACAGCGCTCGCCTCCGCGTCAGCAATCCCTGACGTACGTAACCCCTCCGCCGAACTTCCTCCGGCGCCTTCACCGCCGACTCCGCCGAGAGGCCGCTCGAGCACTCGCTCCTCTCGAAGTTCGACCAGCGGAAGGCCACCACAGCCGCCTCCGCCCCCGCAACGTCCTCCGTCCCCCCCGACGCCGATAATGTCGTCCCCCGCGGCCGCCCTCGACAAGGAGACGTTAAAGCTCCTCCTCCCACTCCGATACGATGGTAAAACCATCATCGATTGCGACAGGTTCCTGTCGCAGCTGCGCATCTACTGGATGGTCAACACGTCGTTGACCACCATCGAGCTCAAAGTACAGGTTGCGCTGAGCCTGCTCGACGGTGATGCCCGCGCCTGGGCAACCCCCTACTTCGCCCAGCTCGTATCAGTGCAGATAGGTGTGCAAGGAGCTACGACCCCATTCGCAAATGAAGCGGCCTTTGCCGCCGCCTTCAAGGCCCGCTTCGGAAATCTCGACGACGAGGCGGCAGCACAAGTAGAGCTGGCGAAGCTCTGCGCGGACAAGTCGGTCCGTGAAAAACGCACCGCTGCTGAATTCTCCGCGCTGTTCAAGGGTCCGGCGGACCGCTCTGGGTATGGGGACCTGGAGCTACGCGACAAGTACCTGAGTGGCATCCCCTCCCGCGTATACCGAAAGATCGAGCTCGAGACTTTCACCACGTGGCAAGACGCTGACAAGCGCGCCACTGAGGTCGAGCAGATCCTCGACATTAGCCGGGCCCGTCGACCCGAGCTAAATAACTTCTTCTCGGCCCGAGGTCGAGGACGCGGTGGGGCACGTGGTGGTGCACCCTCAACGCACGCAGCTTCGGCCAGCATCAATGCGGCCGTCGGAAAAGGCAACTTCCCCGGCACATGCTTCGGCTGTGGGAAGCAAGGGTACCGACGATTTGAGTGCCCCAATTGTAAGGACAAGCCTTACACAAAACGCGTCGATGCGCGGGCTACGGTTGCCTCGGGCTCCACCCAGGCTGCGACAAGCGCCCCCATCACGACGACACCCTCGGCAAGTATAAGTGCCGCTTCAGCGAAATCCGAGCAATCGGAGCTGGCGGACTTAATGGCACAGGTGAAGTCGATGCGTGAGGAGCTCGAACACTATCGGGCGATGAAGGAGGAGGGTTTTTGATCCGGTCCGCGCTTCGTGCCGCACGCGTCGGGCCGGGTATATCATGTAATCGTTATAATGTATTGTCGACTGCAATGGTGTATGAGTTGGACCAGGGGTCCCAGCACTTTCACATTCCAGTTCGACTTCAAGGAAAAAGACGGCACAAGGACGTAATCGCTATGGTGGACAGCGGGGCCACCACGAAGTTCATTAACAAGCGATTCATTATCGAAAATAAGGTGCAAACGCGGAAGTTGAAGGAACCAATTCCGCTGTACAATATTGACGGCACCCTGAACAAGGACGGAAGCATCTCGGAGGTAGCAGTACTACAGATGCATATAGGAAAACACGTCGAGAAGACGGTGTTCACGGTCACGGACATCGGTCCAGAAGATGTGATCGTCGGGTTGGATTGGCTACGCGAGCACAACCCAGAAATAGATTGGGAGAAGGGCTCCCTCAAATTGTCGCGATGCCCTGAAACATGCAGTGCCAGGAGGACTGGCCGAATGGAGCAAGCAGCGACTGCGCGTGATACGGGGGACAGGCCCACGGCGCGCAGGCGTTCGCCGAAATCCAGACGGTCGGTTATAGGCGCTTGCCGGAGTAAGGTACTCCCGGACTTCGAACCCGAGGAAGATCCGGTGGAGGTAGAGTGGGACGAGGCCGATTTGATCGAAGCCTGGGAGCAAGGTGTCACGCTTCCCGACGCTCCTCAGCTGTTCGTCGCAGCAGGACATACGTATTCCCAGCTGTTTGCTGAGGAGGAGATCAAAAAGAAGGTCGTTAAGACCGCTGAGGAGTCGGTACCTAAACAGTACCACGAGTTCCTGAATGTCTTCTCCAAAGAAGCATCAGAACGGCTACCTGCAAGGAAGCCATATGATCATGCGATTGAACTCGTGCCCGGCTACTCGACCTTCCACTCTAAGGTGTACCCCTTGTCGAACAACGAGCAGGAGGAACTAGACAAGTTCCTAAAAGAGCAACTAGCGAAGGGCTACATACGGGAGTCGAAGTCGCCCATTTCATCCCCCTTCTTCTTCATCAAAAAGAAGGAAGGGACGCTTCGACCCGTACAGGACTACCGCTGATTGAACGCGATCACGGTCAAAAACCGTTATCCCTTACCGTTGATCGCCGAGATGGTGGATAAGCTCCGCGGCGCTACGCTCTTCACAAAGTTCGACGTTAGATGGGGATACAATAACGTCCGGATTAAGGCCGGTGACGAATGGAAGGCGGCCTTCGTGACTAACCGAGGGTTGTACGAGCCTTTGGTGATGTTCTTTGGTCTCACCAACTCCCCCGCGACTTTCCAGGCGATGATGAACGAGATCTTCCACGATCTCATCGTCGGCGGCAAGATCCTTGTGTACCTGGACGATATACTCATCTTCTCCACCAATAAAGAGGAGCATGAGAAGGTCACACGCGAGGTTCTGCGCCGCCTTCAGGATAATGATCTATTCCTGAAGCCTGAAAAATGCGAATGGAATGTTCCCAAGGTCGACTACGTCGGCTATGTGTTCGGTGGCGATGAGGTGGCGATGGATCCCGCGAAGCTTAAAGGTATCAATGAGTGGCCGGTGCCCCGGAACAAAAAAGACGTTCAGAAGTTCCGAGGGTTCTCCAACTTCTACCGCCGCTTCATTAAGGACTTCGCTAAGATCTCGCGACCACTCGACCGACTCACAGGGAACGACCCATGGCATTGGGGTGAGGAAGAGCAGCACGCCTTCGATGAGCTCAAGCGGCTCTTCGCGACGACTCCAGTCTTGGCGCTGTACGACCCTAATCGGGAGACGCGCATTGAGGTTGACGCCTCGGGGTACGCCACTGGCGGCGTGTTGATGCAGAAGCAGGATGACGGCAAATGGCATCCCATCGCCTTCAGATCCCATGCGATGGACCCGGCGCAGCGGAACTACGAGATCTACGATAAGGAGATGCTCGCGATCATTGAGGCGCTAGACGATTGGCGCCACTACCTCGAGGGGTTACCCAATCAGTTCGAGATCGTGACCGATCATAAGAACCTCGAGTACTGGCGTACATCCCAGCATCTCACGCGCCGTCAAGCGCGATGGTCGCTGTTCCTAGCTCGCTTCGACTTCCGCATCACGCACAAGGCCGGAACGTCCAATGGAAAGGCTGACGCCCTGTCGCGACGATCAGACCATCAGATCGGCGATGAGGACGATAACACCGATCAGGTGGTTCTCAAGCCAGAGCGCTTCCGCATCGCCTCCGCCCGGTGCGGCCATGCCTCGGTGACGGCCGATCAGTCGCTTCTGAAGCGCATCCGGGAATGCTCGGAGAAAGATCGGGAGGTGGCTGAGGCGCTTGAAAAGGTGCAGGACCTCGGACCGCCCCGGCTGCAAAGGGGTTTTGAGGAGTGGAATGCCGAACAAGGGCTCCTGCTGTTCCGCGGATGTGTGTACGTC